GGGGTGGGCAGGAGGAGGGACATGGTGGGGTAGGGGCCGGGGTGGGCAAGAGGAAGGACATGGTTTGGGCCCAACAAGGTTCTGAAGACACAGAATGTGTTTCTGGTATGGACTCCTTCCTCAGTGAAGATGTTTACCAGTGAAGGTCTGCTACTAGGTGGAGATCGGAAGAAAGACAAAGAGAAGAAGCCAGCTGAGCTTTCCTCAGGTCCAGAGGAAGCCTTAATGTCCAGCTAGTGGTCTCAGTCCAGCGAAGCAAGATCAGACAGAAGATAGGGGGAGGCTAAGAGTTCCCCTTAGCCCTTCAGGAGACAGAGAAGGCTCTATGAGGCAAGTTTAAATCGAAGGACATACTCTTAGAACTGGTGAACAAAAGTTTTTTTCCTCATACAAGGTACCAGAAGGTGACCCAGTTCTGTAACTGTTGACCCCAGGCCTGAAATGCAGAGCTCTGCTTCACGCTACCTTGGAAGGTCTTGTGTGGTCTCAGTCACTCACTCCTGCAGGCAGGGTGATAAGGGAAGGGTCTGTTCCTCACTGGTGCCTGCCTACCACTGGTGTCTCCCTCCAGCCCTAAGAACTCCCAGCAGTCCACTGTTGGTACTGTTCCCAAGAACAGTGATGGGCTAAAGGCAGGAGAAGCAGGCCCTCGCATCAGGGGGTGTGGGAGCAGACACCCCGGGAGGGTCCCGGGAGCAGCAGGCTCTAGTAGCTTTCTTCTATTTGTTGCTGTTCTTTGGTTTTGTGCTTTGAGACAGTCTTGCTCCAGGCAGCCCCTTGCTGGCCTCAAACCTTCAGCCGGCCTCCATGTTCTGGGGTTATAGTACATGCCAAGCCTTCTTGGACTTGTGTTTCTTGCTCTTAGCTTTTCTATCTATTTCTATACATTTAAGCTGTCTCTTAGTCAACATCAGCGAGGAACAGTGTAAAGAGACCACAGTAGTCAGGAGGAGACTCTCGACCTTTTGTGCATAAAAGGTCCTTCGGATCACTGGTCAATGGGGCTGGAGGATAGAGGAGAATAGACTTTTTCCTTTAGCTTAGAAATAGCACAGATGGGGAGCTGGAGAGATGGCTCAGAGGTTAAGAGCACCGACTGCTCTTCCAGAGGTCCTGAGTTCAATTCCCAGCACCCACATGGGGTTCACAACCATCTGTAATGAGATCGGGTACCCTCTTCTGTGTACATAATAAATAAATAAATTTTAAAAAAAAAAGAAAGAAAGAAATAGCACAGATGACTATTCCCAGATTGGTCATTGCTGTTTTTTGCTTTTTTTTTTTTTTTTAAACAGGGTTTCTCTGTGTAGCCCTGACTATCTTGGAACTCACTCTGTAGACCAGGCTGGCCTCGAACTCACAGAGATCCGCCTGCCTCTGCTTCCCGAGTGCTGGGATTAAAGGCGTGCGCCACCAGCTTCTTTTTTTTGTTCTTAAAGATAGGTCTTGCTGTATAGCCCAGTCTGGTCTTCAGCTTAATATATTATAGCTCAAGCTGGCCTAAAACTCACAATCCTACCTCTTCCTCCTCAGTGAACAACAGTACCCAGCCATTCGTGGTCTTCTCTCTTTTTTTTTTAAGATTTATTTTTATGGGCCAGAGAGATGGCTCAGAGGTTAAGAGCACTGGTTGCTCTTTCAGAGGTCCTGAGTTCAATTCCCAGCAACCACATGGTTGCTCACAACCATCTGTAATGGGATCTGGTGCCCTCTGCTGGCCTGCAGGCATACATGCAGGCAGAGCACTGTATACATAATAAATAAATAAATCTTTTTAAAAGATTTACTTTTATGATTTTTAATTGTGTGTGTGCACGCATACGCGATTGAACACACAAATGTACAGGTGTCTGTAGAAGCCAGAGGTGTCAGATTCCCTTGGAGCTAAAGTTCCAGGCAGTTAGGAGCCCCATGATGTGAGTGCTGGGAATCAAACTCGGGTCCTTTGGAAGAGCATCGCATGCTCTTCATTGCTGAAACTACTGCGCCTCCTCTTCAGGCCGGTTCCTAGTCTTTTAACCCTCACCTTCCTAGCTCTCGTGGGATCGGTCTCTCGTCCACCAACCCCTCCAGCCTCGCCGTGTTTGAGTAGACAACTAAAAAGGGTTTACTTACACCAAGGTGGCTTTTCAGAGCGATGCCGAAGCTGCAGGGGCGGTGAGTGAAGAGCACGGGGTGGGGAGAACGGGCCATCTGAGGCCTGGTTGCTGTGCATACAGTCAAAGAGGGCTGGGGAGGGGAGGGGAGAGACACATGAATAAGAGGCCCTCAACCTAAGCCAAGGTCACTTTACCTCCCTCTGGCTGAGCAGAGACATACCCTGGAAACCTTGACCCAAATCTCTGTCATTTTTTAAACTTCACATTATGATCCTTTTCAAATATACCATTATTAACTTGTTTGTAGACAAAATGACGGGTTTAATCATGGCATTTTCACATGCATTATTAACGTTGTTCACATTTATCTGCGACCCCCGTTACTCTATCCTGTTTCTCTCTCTCAGTCTCCTACTTTCCAACAAAGTCACTCTTCTGCATTCACGTCACATACACGTGTTCTATTCTACGGAAGAAAATATGACATCAAATATGTTTTCTAAGAAGGGGTGACGGCGCAGAGGGTCAGGCGTCTGCTGCCAGGACTGATGACCTGAGTTTGATCCCCAGGACCCAGGTGGTGAAAGGAAAGAGCTGATTCCTGCAAGCTGTCCTCTGCCTTCTACAGTGCAGCACCGTGCCTCAGCCCCAAAGAGATACATGTAAAAAAAAAAAAAAGGCCTTTGAAGTTGCTTTGCAAATGAAAACTTGCTTTTCTCTTGCTGCTTTCAAACTTTTCCTGTCGTCTGCCAGGTGTGGTGGCACAGCTTTTATGGGAAGCAGAGACAGGAGGATCTCTGTGAACTCCAGGACAGTCAGGACTACATAGAGAGTCCCTATCTCAAAACAAAAACAAACAAAACGTGGTTTTCTGTATTTCTGTCTTCTGAGAGTCTGAATGCATACTGAATAACCTCAGCATGCATCACTTTGCACATATCCTGTTGGAACTGAACTATTTAAAAATAAAAATTCAAGTCTTTTATTAAATTCGAAAAGGTTTGGTCTATTACTTTTCTAAGTATGTTTTATTCTTCTTTGTCTTTTCCTCTGAGACTAAGATCTGCTTGCTGTACCTCTCTGGAATCAGAAACCAGGGTCCCACATGGAAAGCATGGCCTGTCAGCTTTAAAATCACCATGGGTGGTGGTGGGGTGGGGGGGGTGTGAAGGGATGGCTTGGCAATTAAGACTCTTGCTGCTCTCCCAGATGACCCGAGTTCTATTCCCAGCCCCGACACCAGGTGACTCACAACCACCTCCAGCTTCAGGGTATCTGATGTGTGGAACCCCCACCCCACATAAGTAAAACAACAACAACAACAAACAAACTACAACCAACCTGGGTGGGGGTGAGCAAGAACAGCAAGAGCTGCGACCCTCTTCATCCATTTCAGGTTACCATTTAATTTTTTAATTAATAATTAATCAGTTCTGTGTGTGCTGCTAGGGACCCACATGTTAAACACGTGCTTCACCACTTAGCTACAGCCCAGTCTCCAGGTCATCTCTGACTTAGTGTAGCACTTTCCTGTTGCCCAGGAGCCTTTGACTATTTTCTGGAATATTGAGCGCACACACACACACACACGCCTACACGCACTTCTGTGAAACAACAACAAACTGGATCTATCTACCATTATTTTTGTACTTAGAAAACCAAAACAAATAAATAAAAATAAAAATAAGCCAGGAGGAGGTGGCTGAGTGTCTTTAATCCCAGCACTCAGGAGGCAGAAGCAGATGGATCTCTGTGAGTTCGAGGCCAACTTGGTCTACAGAGTGAGTTCCAGGACAGCCAGGACTGTTGCACAGAAAACCTGGTCTCAAACCCCCCCCCCATATTTTTTTTTTTATTTGCACTTAGGTATCTCATCCATATGGATTTGTCCTGGCAGATGTGAAGTGTGGATTTGATTTGAATTTTTTGTCACTTTGACCTACTTATTTATTAAAAAATATTACTTTACTCAGTATTTTGAAATGTCAACTTCATCAATTTATAGATTTTCAATTTTATTCCTTTAGCTTATTAATTCATGTACCAATATTACACTCCTTTTGTTTGTTCATTTGTGATAGTGTTTCAGCCATTCTGTAGTCTGGGTAGCCCAGGCTGGCTTTGAACTTGTAAGCATCCTCCTGTTTCAATTGCCTAAGAACTCAGATTACAAGGGTGCATCACTGTGCTGGCTAGTTTTATGTCAACTGGACACAAGCTATAGTCATCTGATGTATGGGACCTCAGCTGAGAAAATGCCTCCATAAGATTGGGCTGCAGGAAAGCCTGTAGGGGATTTTCTTAGTTAGTGATCAGTGGGGGAAGGCCAGCCCAGTGTGGGTGGGGTTACCCCTGGCCTGATGGTCCTGGGTTCTATAAGAAGGTAGGTTGATCAAATCATTGGGTGCAAATCAATAAGTGGCACCCTCCACTGCCTCTGCATTGGCTCCTGCTTCCAGGTTCCTGCCTTGTTTGAGTTCCTGTCCTGACTTCCCTCAGTGATGGACTACAATGTGGAAGTGTAAGTCACATAGACCTTTATTCCCCCAATCTTCTTGGTCATGGTGTTTCATCACATCAGTAGTAACCCTAACTAGACCACCATGCCCAGTTTCATGAGGTACTGGCGATCAAACCTAGGGCTTCATGCATGCTAGGAAAGCACTGTACCAACCAACTACATCTCTAGTACCTGGCTTTGTTTTTCTTTTCTTTTATTAACTTAGTTTTTCCTAATTTTTCAATAAAAACTACAGAATTGATTTGTGCTTTTATTGGATCATATTAAACTTATAAATCACCTTGGGAAGAAGTGATATTCTTTTTTCCTCAGGGTTATTTTTGTGTGTGTGCGCGTGTGCATGTGCACCTGAGTAAGCATGCATGTATGTTTGTGTATATGCACTCGTGGAGGTCAGAGGTTGATGACAAGTGTGCTTTTAGACTGCTTTCCAACTTTTTAAATTCAATTTTATGTGTTCAGTGTTTTGCCGTATGTATCTCTGTGAACCATGCACATGCCAAAGAGACTTTTAAAGGGCTTCAGATCCCCTAGAACTTGAGTTACGGATGGTTGTAACCTGCCATGTGGGTGCTGGAAATCGAACCCAGGTCTTCTGAAAGAGCAGCCAGTGTTAACTGCTGAGGTATTTGTGTGTGTATGTGTGCACATGTGTGTATACATAATCCAAAGCATGTGGGCAAAGGTCAGGAAAGAACTTAAGGGAGCTGGTTCTCTCATATGTAGGTTCCAGAGATCAAATTCACATTATCAGGCATGATAGCAAGTACCTTTACCTGCTCAGCCCTCTCACCAGCCCAACTGTATGTTGTTAAAAGTCATTTCTGTGTCTTTGTAGTTACCTAACTATGGCTTTTCTTTTTTCTCACAAACTATTGTTTTATTTACTTTCCTATACTTAAGTTTCATGAAAAAATAAGAGCGAAGCAGTTCTGCCCTCTTTGAGAGAAGCGTCTCCCGTCAACATCAAGTATGCAGCTGACACAAACTAGGAAGAGTGACAACTTAGGGCCAAGACCAGGCTCAGGTCCCTCAAGAGTATACCCCACCAGGCAGCGCCAGCCTTCGATCCTGGAGCCTCTTGACCTATTCTCCATTAAAAACATTACATAAAACACACTCTTCCACTGCAGTAGCTGCACCTAATCCTCATAGAGCTCGCTGTGTGGCTGCAAGAGGTTCTCCTGTCCAGATGTAAACAAAGGGGACGATCTGGCCATCTGCATAATATTCTCCCTATAAACTGCTGCTGGATGGGAAACACAAACTGGTGGCGGGGTTGGCGCACACATTAATCCCAGCACTTGGGAGGCAGAGGCAGGAGGATCTCAGTGAGTTCCAGGACAGCCTGGTCTGGTCTACAAAATGAGTTCCAGGACTGCCAGGACTATTGCATAGAGAAACCCTGTCTGGAAAAACCAAACAAACAAACAAAAAGAAAGAATGAAGGAAGGAGGGAAAGAGGGATAATTCAACTCTGACACTAAGCTTCATAAGCAGTTTTTTTTTGTTTGTTTGTTTGTTTTCAGTGAAGAGCTGGGAAAAGATGAATTTGGCTCTTTTATTTCAAGAAGTTCCAAGTGGGGGTGGTGAGATGGTTCATGGGTAAAGGCACTTGCTGCCAAGCCTGACAACCAGAGTTTGATCTCTACGCCCCACACGGTGGAACAAAAGAACCAACTCCTGCAAGTTATCCTTCGACCTTGACGTGCGTGCCATGGCACACACATGCTTCCCCCAACTCATAAAATAAATAATAAAGAGAGTTATCAGATGGTGTGTGCTCTCAAAGCTCGCTCTCTCCAGGATCACGCGGTCTCTCTTACAATGCAGGCTGTTTTCAATGGCAAATTTATAGGTTCCAATTGTATCACGTGATCTTCCTTACAATGCAGGCTGTTTTCAATGGCAAATTTATAGATTTGAATTGTATCACATGGTAGCCATACGCCCAACTGGATCTAGAACGTCAACACACTGCCAAGTTAACTGCCGTGGTAAAAAGAACCGCTCCACGAGTAGCACCCGTGGAGTGGGGAGACATGAGTCAGGACCTGTGCTGCTCAGCTTTTTGTCACCTTGACAGAGCCAGGGTCATCTGGGAGGAGGGAACCTCAGCTAAGAAAATGTGTCCATCAGACTGGCCTGTGGGGAAGTCTGTGGGGCATTGTCTTGATTAATGATTGATGTGGGAGGGTCCAGCTCACATAGGCAGTGCCACCTCAGGGCAGGTGGTACTAGGAGATACAAGAAGGGTATCTAAGGGATGGAAAGATGGCTCAGTGGTTAAGAGCACTTGTTGCTTTTGCAGAGGACCTGGGTTCTGCTCTCAGTGTCCACATGGTGGCTCACAACCATCTGTGATGTGACTCCAGTTCCAGAGGTCTGACCCCCTCTTCTGACCTTTACAGGTACCAGGTACACATAAGGTACACCTACATACATGCAGGCGAACACTCACAATATAAGTAAGTCTAAATAAATAAAAGGTAGCTGAATGTGAACCCAGAGAACAAGCCAATAATCAGCACTGCTCCATGGTCTCGGCTCCAGTTCCTGCCTCCAGGTTCCACCCTGACTCCCTTCATGATAGAAGATGAAATAAACCCTTTCTCCTCAAGTTCCTTTTGACCATGGTATTTATGGAAATGGAAAGCAATCTAGGGCAGGATCATGTCACACCTTACACAAGAAAACAAATGGAGGCCTCCAATATGATTAAGAAAATCCTGCCTATTTTGCTAGCTGAAGTTTTTTTTTTTTTTTTTAAGATTTTAGTTAATTTTGTGTGCATTGGTGTTCTGTCTGCATTCTTGTCTGTGTGAGGGTGACAGATCCCCAGGAACTGTAGTCATAGACAGTTATGAGCTGCTATGTGGGTGCTGGGAATTGAACCCGGGTCCTCAGGAAGGGAGTCAGTGTTCTCAACCCCCTGAGCCATCTCTCCAGCCCTAATAGCTGAAGTTCTAAAAGCCAAATGGCCATGTAGTCTCTGCTGACAGCCCTGTGTTCTTCAGCTTGGGTCAATGTCCCTAGGTTCCCAAGCCTCCGTATGTAGTTCCTAGCTATCCATGTGTATGAATGTGAAGTGTGTACATACATGTTTTGACGTAGGCGTGAGTGCACATGTATGTGTATGTGCGTTCTGAGGCCAGAAGACAACCTTGGGTGTCCTTCTGTAGGCACCATCAGCGTCTCCACTTTTTTTTTTTCTTTTTGAGACAGTTTCCTTCACCGGCTTGGAACTAGCCAAGTAGGCTGGCTGTCTGAAAGCCCCCACGATGTGTATCTGCCTACCTTGTGCTGGGTCTGTAGGATGCCACCAGACCTGGCATAGTCTTAAGATTTATTATTTTTTTTAATTAAAAAAATATGTCACCAGGCAGTAGTGGTGTATACCTTTAATCCCAGCACTAGGGAGGCAGAGGTAGGTGGATCTCTGAATTCAAGGCCAGCCTGGTCTACAGAGTGAGCTCCAGGACAGCCAGATCTACACAGAGAAACCCTGTCTTGGAAAAAAAATTATGTATATGTGTGCCTGTTTATCTATATGTCCCCCATATGCATGAAATAGCCTGGGGAGGCCAGAAGGGGAGGCCATGGAACTGGAGTTAAAGGAAGTTGTGAGATGCCTGATGTAGGTCCTGGGAATTGAACGTGGGTCTTGTGCAAGAGCAGCCACTGCTCTTAACCACTGACCCATTTCTCCAGCCCCCTTATTTCATTTTTAAGTGTGTGTGTCTGTGTGTGTGTGTGTGTCTGTGTGTGTCTATGTGTGTGTCTGTGTGTGTGTGTATGTGTGTGTCTGTCTGTGTATGTGTGTCTGTGTGTGTGTGTCTGTCTGTGTGTCTGTGTGTATGTCTGTGTCTGTGTGTGTGTGTGTCTGTGTGTATGTGTACTGGTTATAGGCAGGAGTGCTGGAGCCCACTGAGGTCAAAAGAGGGTGTTAGATTCCAAACAGCTGGAGTTACAGGCAGTTGTGAGCCATCCTTCACGGATGCTGGCTCCTCTGCAAAAAGCAGTTGGTTTTATGAGACAGGGTTTCTCTGTGTAGCTTTGTGCCTTTCCTGAAACTCACTCTGTAGACCAGGCTGGCCTTGAACTCACAGAGATCCACCTGGCTCTGCCTCCCAAGTGCTGGGATTAAAGGCACGAGCCACCAGGCTGGCTCAGTGTTTTAAAATATGGGTTGTTCCGGGGATCAAATTCAGGTCCTTGTACTTACTACACAAGCACTTTGCTCATTGACCTATCTTCCCAACTCCCCCGCCACCCCTCCCATTTCTGGTGCTGAGGAAAGATCACAGGACTTTGTGTTTGCTAGGCAAGCACTCTATCACTGAGTTAAATTCCCAACTTCCTAACTTTTAAATTGATTTGACTTTGTCTTTGTGTGTATTCGTGTATATGCATCTGTGTTCACAGGTGCAGATGTGCTTCAGTGCCCATAGAGGCCGGAAGTACATGTTAGATTGCCTGGAGCTGGAGTTACAGGTGACTGTGAATCACTTGATATGGTTGTCGCAAAAAAAAGCTCTGCTCCTCTGCAAGAACAAAGAACAGCAAGCACTCTTACCTGCTGAACCATCTCTCCTCCCCCCTCCCCATTACAAATTCAGTATTTTCTCCTGTTCTACAAATTCTAGGTATGGAGGTAAAGCTAGAGATGCAAACATTACTTCCCGTACCTGCAGATGCCTGTGCATGGGCATCAGTGTGGCGCTGGCAGACTTTGGTCAAGAATTCACTCACTTGACGCAAGGAAAGGGCATTATGTAGTGTTTCCAGGGGGTAGATGGTAGGTACCATGGAGCACCCTTCAAATCCTGTTGGAAAAGAGATGAACAGAGTCAATGTTATTCCCACCAGATAGACTCCAATTGGCCAAGGAAGGATGGAGAGTCCCTGAGAGCCATCAGGAAAGTCTGTGGCTTTTGGAGTATGGGGTATCCAAGATTTCCAGGAGAAGGGACTCTTTAGAGGCCTTCAGGAAGTCTATTTATCTCATCTCCAATTTCCCTAAAATGTCCACCTGTTAAGCCTCCAGGTAGTCAAATCCCCTCCACCTACAGAGAGTACAGTGTCCGTGGACAACAAGAGCACTGATGCTGCTCTCGTGCTTTCTAGGGGAACGAAACGGACCAAGAGGCAAGGGGTTGAAACTGTAGATCTAACATGAGGCAGCGGGTCATGGAGCTCGGAAGGAACAGCAGATTTCAGGTGTCATGAAGAAAAAAAAAAAAAAAAAACAGATTAAGGAGAAGGGCATGGAATCCAAGGAGGGGTTCATGCACATTCCAGATGTGGGCAGAAGGGCTAGAATACTTGGATGCAAACTGGAGAGCATGCAATACATGAAGCTCAGCTGAGGAAAATCACATGCATCAACAGGGTGGGGGATGGAAGTTCTTTCTTGGTCATTTCCATCACATCAAAGCTTTCCCTTATGCTCTATCTGTAACATCCTGGGCTCGCTAGGTTTTCTCTAGTCCACCAAGAAAATGAGACACCCCAGCCCCTGAAAAAAATACCCTATAATACAGGTCTACAAGTCTCGGTAGGTAAACATCAATGAATAACCCTATTCCTAGGACTATTAAAGGGAAAAAATGCTCCCACTGAAGGATCAAGAACACATCCTAAGCACTGTCTCAGTCCCCAGTTGTTCCAATGCTTCTTCTCCTCAAAGGAACGAAGAACAGGGAGGGAGCACCATCTACAAAAGACTGAGCCTCTTCTTCACCAATGAACAAGGGTCCTAGCTCAAAATTACCGTACCTGGTCGTCCTCTAACCTCCAGCTTTGTCTGTCTTGATGTTTAGTTGATGCCCCCATGCCTTGGTTTCCCCTTATAATCTAGTGGCAGGAGGGCGTGGGGTCTCTAGCTCATCAGAGTGGTTAGAAAAACGTTTGGATTTGAAGATGATGGTAGTAGAAGATTAGAGAGATAGGAACACGTTAACAAAACAAACAAACAACAACAACAAAAAAACAACACCAGATTCCAGGGTAAGAGATTATGCCTATGCTGAACAGAACAGGTGACATTAGGGGCAAGTAAGAAAGGAGACTAGAAGGGGATGAGCAGCCAACGCTACAGCTACCAGGCAGCCTGGCCCCAGTCCCAGTCAAGCAACTAACGCAAGTCCCATAACCTCAGGACTCGAGAGAGGCTTCTCCAGCCAGGAATGCAGTAAGCAAAGCAATCCATCCCAGCCAGGGTAGCGGCGGTGGCCAGCCTGTGGCAGGGGGTACCGTAGAGGCACTCGGGGTCATCCTGGCCTGAGCGCAGCCAGTTCCGGAAGAGGCGCAGGTGGTAGGAGCACTGGTGCAGGTGGTGCGCCAGCGTGGCGTCCAAGGAGACGGGCCAGCCCCTCGGGCAGTCAGAGGAAAAAGTGCGCAGCAACCGGACCACAGGGTGCTGGTCATCCAGCAGCTCTGCAGGGGACAGAGGGGCCGCGATAGGAAGGGAGCACAGAGAGAGGGGAAGAGAAGAGGGAGAGACAACCGGGGGCACTGGCTGCCACAGCATCACTGCGAGTGGGGGCCGCTCAGACCCCAGGGAAGCTAGGGAAGAAGGAGGGATGGTCAGAGGGACTGGCCATCCCTTACTGGAAAGAAGGGTACCGGCACCACACGGTGAGCCTCAAAGAAGCCGTTAGTGAGACCTCAGGCCCTCCCCTTCCTCCTTGAGCACAGTTCAGTCCGTGCCCGAGGGACAGGAATCGCATTCCGGAGACGGGTGAGCTGCTCATTCTGCGGCTGGGAGCCTTGACTAGAGCTCAGCGTCACTGATCTAGCTTAGATAAACCCTAGGGCCCCACTTCTCAGACCAATGGATTTATGACACTGGGACAGAGATGAAGAGATTCAAAGTCACTCAGAGAAGAAGGTCAAAATGATAGTAGATGTCAAGATAACTCCAGAACTGAAAACACTCCAGAAGGCTAAGGCCCGCTGCGATGCAGATTCTAAGATAGCCCCAGACGGGACTGGCGCCAGGTGGCTGGCACAAAACACTGGCAGGAAACCAGGAGTAGGACTCCTTTGAAACAGTGCAGGTAAAACAAAACAAAACAAATCAGACTCTCCTCTTTACAATACCAATATGACTAACTGCCTTTACTTTACTCTTGTACAAATAAAGACTTTAGTCTCAGAATATGGGTGGTGGTGGTGGTGATGTATCTCTCACTGGGGTCAAAAGTTAGACAATTTTATGTTTTCTTTCCACAGATGATCAGGCTAATCACTCTTTGTTCAGCTGGTATGTGGAAGAGCTTTAATTTGGAATCCCTTATTGTTTTAGCCACTTGGCACATTCTGTGGATGCCTGGGATTCAGCAGCAAAACGGTTGAAGGCACTGAAAGGCATGTGATGAGGGGTACAAGAGGAAGGGCAGTGTAAGATCTTGGAGGACATATATGGGGATGAAGATTGACGTGAGAATGAGCAAGGGCTTGATACAGGAAGACAGGAGGATCAAAGCGGGTGGAGATGACTGCTCAGAACTCCTAGATCAGAACCGGCCCTCTTGCTGGTCCCATGAGACCACAGCTTCCAAAGAGCTTGGTTTTTACTTCTTCCTAGACTGGTAGAGTGAGACCTGACTGTACCAGTGGTCACACAGCTGTGTGGGGCAACAGGACACAAAGAGCCTGACAAATCCACTGGGCACTCTGACACTCTGGGTGAGGATGAACCACTGTCTCTTTCCCACTGGATGAATTTGCTTTGGTGAGTTCAGCATGATGGTTAGTGATGTCCCACACCCACGTGCTGGTTGTAGTCACAGGATATGACAGCTCATCAGGAACAGAAGCAGAGATGTACCCGGGGCTGCTCTTTCCATCAGAGTATGGAGACAGCATTGCCTTGTCTCTTTTCCAAAGCCAGGTCCAGTTTTGGAGCTTTGTTTGTTTTTTCAGCGGCCGTGTCAAAGCCAGACATCATGCAAGGAGATGGTGACGTTGGGGAGTAGGCTGGCACACTGTTAGGAAGACTCTGCTATAAGCAACCGCAGACAGAACAACTGCTCTGTAATTGCTGAGTCAGTAAAGCAAGACCTTGGCCATGGGGTAGAGCTCTCATGGTGTGTTAAAGGCTAAACTCCATCAAGATGATCTTCTTTGTCAAATACAATAGTTCCGAATTTCTCCTTACAACAGGTAGATCCCAGGTCCTGGCTTTGCAAGCATATTAGCCTCCTAGTTCAAACCCAAGAGAAACAAGGAGGCTGGAAGAAGCCTGGGCAAGTGTGGAAGGCGTCAGAGTCCGTGTTGTTCTCCTGCACTCTACCTGACTCGTCCAGGTCTTCCTTCCTTTCCTCCTTATGGCAAAATTAATTCTTGCTTCTTCAGCTGCTGAGTCTGCCAACCAAGGCTTCAGAGAACTGGAGAAATAGGTTTGAGGATTTGCTTTACCAACGTGGGTTTTTCTCTTATGGCGCCCAAGAAACTAGGAGATATGGGATTTAGCTCTTATTTCAGGGGCCCAAGCTCCTGGTACTATATCATAGACTAAGTCCAAGTCCCAGGCTTGGGGTTTGGGCATCAAGTTCTCTTCTGTGACAACTGTGACATGTGAGACTATATGAGTTATCACAGACATGTCACTATGGATAGGGACTTTGGCCACAGGCAGAAAAAGGGAACTGGAGGTGGAGATGAACTGAATGAATACAGGGTAGTCAACCTAGAGAGAGATTTCAGCAGTGTCTAGAGGATATGCATGACATGACCAGGCTAAAATCTAACACCTGCCACTGGTGAGGCAGCTGATGGGGGGTCGGGAGGGGGCAGAAAATCAGAATAATTTTACCTTCCTCTGAGAGTCTCAGCTCTTGAATAGAAGAAAACCATATCTAACAAAGCTGGATTTACTTGAGTGACAAGATACAACACAGAGAAGAAAACTAAAATAAAAGTTCAGTAGGGAGTAGGTCTTAAATTCTCTTGCCATACCCCACAAAGAGACCATAACCTTTCAGGGTGCAATGTACACAGACTTAGTTCTTCCATATTCTCAAAATATTGCAAAGTATTCCTACGTTCTCCCAGGACTCCTATCTTTTCCCTTCAGTTCCAGCCTCTCTGAGATAATGTTTCCATAGGTCTACCTGGCCTCATGGAAAGTGGCCTAGCTCAGTGGCAGAGCATATGGCTAGTCCACACAAATATCAGAGTTCAATTTCCAGCACTGACCACTCAGCCAACGAGAAAAAAGGAAAAAAGGAAAAGAAAGAAAGAAACCTCAAGGTACAGTCCTTTCTCCTTACCTAACACCTCCCATTCCTATTTTTTCCTCCTTTTATCCCAAAGCAACCTGGGCTCCTGTTTTCTAGGCTCAGGCATTAGGTTAGTAAAACATAAAGCAGATGTCAGGAACACAAGAGCCACACAAAGTACACAAAATGGCAGGAGACAGGAATATGGAATGGAGGTCCTATGTCCAAACCAAAGCCCTAACAGTAACTGTAGCAATTGGTCCAAAAGAAGAACACACCCTGCATCCACCCCATCAAGAGCTGGAGAGTAAAACAGGAGATCTACATAAACTGAGACAGCAGGGAGAGAATAAGCCCTGGCTAGGGGATGCTAGTCTCAGCTAAGGAGGAGAACCTATCATGTCTGTCCACAGCCTGGCGGTCATGTGATAGGAAAGGGGGAGTTGTGACTGATGCTTTGGTGGCGATGCTGACAAAATGATGGAATGGTGATGATGGTGATGACGGAAATCAGACCCTGAGTTGCCACAGGGATAGGTCAGCCTATCCCGGCTGCAGCCACAGCTACGGCCGTCACAAGGAGATGTCCCAGGAGGGACGCTTAGTGAGGGGCTCATTCAGAGAAAGCAGGGTGTCACCATAGTGGAAGGAGAGGCACAGTCAGTGTCGGAACTCAGGGTTAAGTGTCTGGAGATGGACGTGAGGAGGAGGGATGACGCCGAGTCAGAAGCAAACGTACCGTTAGTCGGATGCTTTGCAAACGACACAGAAAATCGTTTTACGGCCGGGACAGACAAGAGCTCTGGGGAGAAAAGACATCACGGGGATTACACCCACCCCCGCGCCCGCCCTCGGCTCTGGAACCTGCCCACTGTGTGCTCGGCTCTTCGCCTCGTGCGATCTGGTCCCGTCCCCGACCCTCGGGTCCTGACTACGACATTCCGTTCCTGTCCTCTGCTGTCACCGCTGTACTGGGGTCACCTCTACCACAGCGTGGTCCCACACAGCAACCCTGACTTCACCACCATGTGCCCTGCCTAGCCATTTGGAAATAGAGTCTGCATAGAAACCTCCTTCCCTTCCCCCAGTACCTTTCCAGATCATCTTTTCACCTTAGCTGAGCAACCTCCACATCCCTGACCCTGATTTCCTGGAACTTAACCAAGACTCCACTGCATTCCTCCTGACCATGGAGCCTCCTCTTGGTCCTCACCCTACAGGCCAGAATCCAGGAAAGAGTACAAACTGATGCAGCCAGGCTGTGTGTGGGAGATTATGAAGGGATAAGCATAAATAAGTAGTATTTGTATGGTGAGAGGGAAGGCAAATGGAGGAGTGGAAGGGGTCCTGGCTCCTTCTCCCTTCTATTATCCATGAAGAAAGCTTGGTATAAGGCCACCGCCAATGCCATCTTAAGCATGAATAGTTCTGGAGCTGTATGCTTGCTGGGAGACAAGTTGTTTTTGTTTTTGTTTTTTTTTTAAAGAGAGAGAGAGAGAGAGAGTGGCCCCCCAAAACCCACCCACATACCATCTCGGTGCTTTAGACTGGCAGGCGGGAGCTTTTTGCCATGGCTGCGGGCGTAGTCCTGAAGATTCGGAGCGCTGGAGGAGCCACCCAGCACTGTGGTGCTGAACAGCCCTGTGCACTGTGAGCCTGCAAGGCCGGGAGCACATTAGTAGCCACGCAAAGCTGCATACAGAACACCCAACTGTACAGTACGACGTTAAGACACACACAGCCATTCAGCACCACCACAATGCAGCGACTCCGAGGAACCACAAAGAGTGTCCACTACTGTCCATAGCCACAGCAGGCAAGCCAAGTCGCGGCTCTCCAGGAGATCTACATGGCAGAGACAAAAGGCCACTACAAAAATGGTGTTAGTCTTATTAGGTATTCAGTCTACTGAGGTGGACTGTACTTCCCAGGTAGCTCTCAGAAGTACTACAAGAATAGGTAAGTCTTCCTAACTTTTTACAACTACCTTACTTTGTATAGGAGGAGGGAGAATGCATGTCACGGCATGCACGTGGAGGTCAGGGGACAGCCTGCAGTACTCAGGCCTCTCCTTCCGTTGGGAAGGTCCCAGGGATTAAGCTCAAGTCATTGAGTCTGGCAGCTGAACCACCTCACCGGAGCATGCGCCCCTAAACCTCATCAGGTCCTCGACTCTGGACAGAGGATTTGAGAAACCTAGAAATCTAGGGGTTTGAAAGGGAAAAGCTTTCACTGAGACTAGAGACTGGGTTTGGGTACTTGGCTGGCACACAATTCTATGTTCTTCATCCAACATCCTATCCTTCAGAGCATCTTTCACTTACAAGGATGAGCCTTGCATTTGTAAAGCTAAAAGGGACTCGGAGACCACCTAGTTTAACTTTTTCATTTTATATAATAGGTGAAGAAACAGATCCAAAAGGGGTTTCCTTTGCTCAAGGTCACAGTACGGGAGCTAAGGAAGACCAGAATCTAGGCCCCCTTCCTCCAGGGACTAACTGTGTTTGGTTAGAAGAGAAGGATTTTTTTTTCCACAGAGAAATAGCATAGATTCTGAAATCAAGATGGACACAAATCAGAAGACATCTGAAAAGTACATTGCTTATAACGTAGGGCATGCCAATCATGTGCTAAGCACCCTGCTAAGAAAGCAGGGGACAACAAAAACTGTCTTGCTTTTCTGCTCTGAAAAGTTTGTGTCTTGTAAGCCCTGCCATCGAAACCAGCTGCCCACACACGGAAGTTCAAAGAAAGCAAAAAGAAGTGCTAGTGTGCGGAGTAAACGAAACTTGAAGAACCTCTGCAAAGGGTAAGTCAGGTCAGAAACCATCCCCAGGGTGGTCTAGACTAGGGTTGGACTCCCCGGTCCTCTTTTTACAGCCTTGAGGATAGAGTAACCGGGAAGTCACAAGACTGACATTCTTGAGTTAAGCATGGTGGTGCATGCCTTTAATCCCAGCACTCGGGAGGCAGAGGCAGGAGGACCTCTGCGAGTTTGAAACTAGCCTGGTCTATGTAGTGAGTTCCAGGACAGCCAAGGCTACAAAATAAATAAATAAATAAATAAATAAATAAATAAAAATAAAACAAAAACAAACAAGACATTCCATCATAACCAAGACTCTGGGCTTGGCAGGGGAAGTCATATTCATATTCAGACTAGAGAAGAGGGTAGTTTCCCTTGAGCCTACAGAGAAGACCAGGGCCCCCGTATTTCAGGGCTACCAGAAAAATCAGAAATCTCAGGTGGGCAATGGTTTCTACCCTGAAATTTGGGAATTCTGTAATGCAGCAACTTCTCCCAACTTCCCTGCTCACTCAGGCTTGAGAATGAAGTACCACAGAGCGACACACTGCAAAAGATGTCTGCTTTCCTTCAGAGAAAGCTGAAGGAGCTGGCTCTGTCCTAGACCACACCAAGCTCTGTCTTACATTTGCGTTCTCTCCTGAGTACTTTTCTGGTACAACCCTGCCAGGCCTACTCTGCTCGGCCCTCAGATATCTCAGAGGGCAGTCTCTATCTTACCCTCTGTCAGATATCTCAGAGGGCAGTTTCTATCTTACCCTCTGTCACTAGTTCTGTGTATCCCTCACTCTGCTTTATTCTGTTTGGTTGGTTTTGAGATAGGAGCCTCTTCATGTCGTCCATGCTAGCTAGCTTCCAATCCCTGGGTTTTAGGGATCATCCCACCTCATGCCCCCAAGTGCTTTGGACTATAGCCACATGCCACTGCACTATATACCCAGTCTCCTATGCCTTATTCTCTTTTCCTTTCTTTCTTTCTTTCTTTCTTTCTTTCTTTCTTTCTTTCTTTCTTTCTTTCTTTCTTTCTTTCTTTTTTTTGTTTGTTTTTTTGAGACAGGGTTTCTCTGTGTAGTTTTGGTGCCTGTCCTGGATCTCGCTCTGTAGACCAGGCTGGCCTCAAACTCACAGAGATCCACCTGCCTCTGCCTCCTCAAGTGCTGGGATTAAAGGTGTGCACCACCACCGCCGGCTTGCTTTGTTTTTTTAAGACAGAGTCTCCCTATGTAGGCTTGGATGGGCTGGAACTCACTATGTAGACCAGGATGGCTTGGATCTCACAGAGATCTCTCTGCTTCTGCTCCCCACCCCTGACCTCTGGAGTGCTAGGATTAAAAATGTACTACCACACCTGGCTCCTATGCCTTATTCTTTTTCTTTCTTTTTTCTTTCCTTTTTCGAGACAGGATTTCTCTCTGTCTATGCCTTATTCTTGAGAAGACTCCCACTTACACAACTTACACTACTTTCTAACTTATCTGAAATCTATTTTTTACTGGGTCTTGCTGTTTCTTGGCCTTCGGGGTTTCTGGGGTGAGAGGTCCGCTTTGCTGACCTACAGCTGTCATTTAGTCCTCATGCCCCAAACCAACCAACTTATCTCAGGATTCTAGAAGGCAGTCTACTTCCATAAAATTAGCTTGGAAAATTATCAAAACATTTCTCCTCTTTAATAGTTCAAATATTAACCATTTGGGGACCAAGAAATTAAGCAGCAAGGACAAAAGTAACAGAAAAAAATGAGAGGATTTAAATTGAGAGAATAGGACTAGCTTTTTTAAAAAATGAGCCAGGAGAACCAGTTCAGAACCCACACAGTCATCTCTGACCTCCAGTTAGTTACATGGTTCCCATGGCATTGGGTTCAGAGGCAGTCCTTGATAATACCATACCCTCTGAGGCTTGGTGCTTCCTCAAGTCTGTGTCCTTAGGAAAGGTTGAGTGATGTTCTCCACCCCTTTCCAGGGCTCAAAAAAAAAAAATCAAGAGACATTCCCTCAGTGTCCTGAGAGAAGCCTCTGCCACCTCACCGGTCTCAGATTTGTGTCCCTCAAGCTTCCGGAAGGAAAGGAAAAAGTTACAGGATTAGGAAAGCAGGGTGTGAAAACCAGGTTTCAGAGGAAGATGTGGCACAAGGTTTTGTGTGAAAATATGACAACTGGGGGTCACAAGCACCTCTAGTTTTACCTGTATAACTCAAGTACCTGTCACTGATAACTCTGAAGGGTCAAAGCCTCCAAGGTCCCTTAAAGTCTGGGCTAGACTGGAGGGACAGATAAGGAATGAGAAGGAAAGCCAGGAAAATACCCTTCAGCTAGGGAAACGGGGGTTGGCGGGGAAAATCAAAAGGCAAACACTTTCCTGGGATGAAAACAATCACCTAGATCCGTGTGCGCATTTAACTCCAGCTCCTTCCACTTTATTTTCCCTTCCCACATCTGACAGTGCCACCGACTGGATGGTCTCAGCTCCCGCGATGAAGACTGCCCACAATAAGACTCTGGATAACAGACAGACACCCTTTCCAACCACAGGTGAGGGATGCTGGAAGACCTACCGAGGCCGCTCTGCTTCATCTCGGTTGGTGGCCGTGAAGATGAAAACAGCCGGTAGCCACCAGGTCTCGAAGATGAAGTTTCAGACAGCACCTGGGGAAAAAGGACTCTATGTGAACCCTCTTGTCATCTCAAAGCATAAAACCCAGGTTCTGAATTCTTGCCCCTACAAAGCCAAGCAGTACCAGAAAGGTTAGACGAGCCAAAAGAGGTTTATGGTGGAAGAGGAATAAAAAGAGAACAGAGTGCACGTTGCAGCAGTGAACGGTCCAGGGCGTCCATCTATGTTAGAAGGCGCTTTCACTGCCCAAACACTGGTCCTCACAGCCTTACACCCGCCCCAGAGCTGACGAATCAGGACCCCACTATTCGTCATCCTCAGCAGAGCAGGCTCTTCAGTCTTACCTGCTCCTTCCTAGGATTAGAAAGCCAATCACCTGATTCAGCCACAAATAAAGTATGGCCTGCCCTCTCTTTTTTCCAGGAACAGCTGGGTGAATGTAGCTATCCTCAGCTTCTTATTTAAGCCAAGAAGCCCTCCCCTCCAATTGTTTTACTCCTGGATACATGAAACTGATTCCCCACCCCCAAAATACCCATGAGGGCCAATCACACAAGCCCCAACATACATATATCCCGTCTAGAAAATGAGCGGCTTCCCTAGATCCCAAAAGCAAAAACAGAAGGTAGGAAAGGAAGGCAAGGCAGGAGGAGACACCTGTGTGCAGGAAGCCAGGTGAGTGGTGGACACAGCCCGGGGCTGTAGGCCGATGGCTGGGGAAAGCCTGGGGAGGTCTCCTGACCTCCTGCGGCGCCGTCCCCTCAAGGGGATCAGGTCCAGGTTCCCCGTGCACTGCATGTTCATGACCTGCAATCAGACCGGGTGGAAAGCCGGTCAAGGCTCCTTTAGCCCCCAAGCTCCCAAAGTCCCAGTGCCCATAGGGCAGAGCCAGTTGGAGAGCTGGAGAGGATGGCCAGCTAAGGGCACAGCTGCTATTAAGGTCACAGGTTCTATAATCTAAGACAGTTCGAAAATATGAGATGACAAGAGAAAGAGGAGGAATGAGATGTCACTGACTAGGATGAGATGTCATTGACTAGGATGAGATGTCATTGACTAGGATTGTCATTGTCCAGTATTGGCCTACAGAGCAAGGAAAGAAAGCATTGATACTGGAAGGCTGCATGACCAAGGAGCCGGCTGAGGAACACATCCTGGGTAGTCACCACCCTGAATGAGCCAGAATCTAAATGACACCAATGACAAAAGGAAGGAACGTGATTACAACAGGAGTCATAAACAGATCTGGAGGCTCAGGCCTGAGACCCCAGCTACTCGGGAGGATAAGGCAAGAAGATCAGTTCAAAGTCCACGTGTGTTGCAGAGTGAGTTCAGAACCAGCCTTGGTAACTCAGCAAAACCCAGTCTCAAAATCAAAAATAATAGAAAGGGTTGGGGATGCAGCTCAGTGGTAGAACACTTGTCTGGGGTGTGGGAGGCTCTGAGTTCAATCCCCAATACCACAGAGAAAAAAGTGATCATACCCAAGGAAGCATCCAGAAAGAAGACAATCCCGACAAGCCTAAGAGAGGATGTCACAGAGTTCTCCTTTGTTTTTATCCCCTGTGCTGACATAAGATGACAAAGGGACAGCCCAGGACAGACAATCACATGCCATCCCGTCCATCGGATCTACTGCCCAAGGGTGATAGTGTGTGCAGAATGCTGGGCACCAGGTTCTACCTACCTCTGAAGAGAAACTAAGGCACATCTCTCCTAAAGAAACTGCATGTTCAAAACAGCAATTCCCCCTGAAATATCCAGGAAGCAAAGGGTAAGTCTGGATAGAGAGATTGTAGTTTATTTTCTTGGCCTTCTCCAAAATCTGAAATGTAAATCTCTGTATTAACCTATAAAAGCTTATTACAGAATCTTTGGAGATATCCCTAAAACAGAAAAACCAAGTCCTGTGAGACAGAGACCTGTAGAGAGCCAGGTGAACAGATTCATGAATCCAGAGCAGTATCCAAATCAGGCAAAGTCTCTGAGACAGGGATAAGTCATGGCATCGAAAGGAACGTCATGGAGGAAATTTAAGAAAGCATCACTGGGCCAAAGAAGAAAACTGAGTTACCAAGAAAGACAAAGCCAAACCTGGGACAGTAAGGAGATGCAGTGATAAATCTGCACAAGTTCTGTCCTCTAGATTAGAAAACCAGAAGGAGGGTTTGGGGAAAATTCTAAAAACAGCAAAACACAGACCCAGGCAGATAAACCTCCTCATTAGGAGAGACACATAGAATGATTCAATCATCCTTCTGGCGTGACACTGTAGATAACCCTAATGGCATTCAAGTGCCAGGAATCTGCTCACGTCTAAACAATCAGAAGGAGAGGGCCTGGCCTCTAACATCAACTGCACTGTTACTGCACTGTTACTTTTTAATGCATCTATAAGGTAAGGCAGACATTACCCATATCATACAGAGGGAAAAAGACTCGAGCTTAGAGGCCACCTGGACACGGTACACAGCTTCTGGGACTCAGACGGTGATGTCAGCCCAGAGTTCATGCTGCCTCTACTTTATCTTAAAATCCTTTCCTCTTAGGTACCGCTCACTGGCAAGTCTTTAACATCTCAAGTAGCAACCAGCTTAGAAAAGCTCTACTGGGGACCGGCTGTGAAAGGAACATTAGGGGAACATAAAGCCACCGCAAGGGGATTGCTTCAGGTCACAGGAAGGGTCCGAGCAAACATGGACATTTCCCTAAGAGTGCTTGTACCCCATCACGGTCCTGTCCACCTCATTACCTCCATGGAGCCGGCTTTTCGATTCCTAATGAGGGGTGATCTCCTTGGGAGGCCAGTGCCCTCGACAGGCTGGGGTGAGGTCTGCAATGCTCGGTCGGGTTCATCTGCGGCCTTCCCCGGGCATAGGTTCTCTATGCTGCCTTGATCTGCTTTCATCTCCTCGTTCTGTTTAATCACAGACAAATGGAGAGACGTTAATGATTTCCATCTTCCTAATAGCCAACTCCTCAACCTTCTGAGCCACCCTGGATTACTTCCCAGTGCCCCACCACCTGGTCCCCTGGTCCCTAAATCCTAGAGTCTCCGATCGCAACCCTCTGACCCACCTCCGAGGAGGCTGGACGGAATCCGCAGCCAGCCGGGGCACTGCCTTCTTCGACACCTTTCACCCCAGGGCTGAAATGCAGCTCCACGTGGAACCGCTCCTCCGACAACGGGTCCTAGAGGGCATCACCACATGAAGGGTAATTGGGAGACTCTGAATGCGGTGACAGAACTCGCGGGAGCAACGGAGAGAAACTCAAAAGGACACGGCCACCTAGGAAAGCCAGGACTGAGGTTCCAGGGTCATGCCCTCAGCCCGCGGCTCATCTATTACAGGAGCTCATGCCTCGCCTCCAGGTCTACAGCCTTCCCTTCCCTCTCTCCCAGTAACAGCTTGGCTATGGTACATAGAGCAGAACTTTAAAGATGTCTTTGCTAAGACTGATGCAGAAGGCATGTGTGTATATGCATATGTACACACACACACACACACACACATACACACACACACACACACACACACACACACACACACACACACACTCACACTTGAGTTAAAGATATTAGCAGAAACAAGACTCATAAAACCTTGTCCCAAATTCCACAGTTGTGTTGTAGGTTATCTCTCTGGCTTGACACCACCCCAGAATACAGGTTCCACCCCAGCCGGACCTTTCTAGGTGCTCTGTGCCATACTGTGCCTACACACGGCATCTAGCTGGATTCTATGAACTCTCTTAAAGATGAAAAACCAATTACCTAGTGCACTGCAAAGAGAGCAGCAGATACGGCGGTCAAAGAAAAACTACTGCCCAGTGTCTACAAAAACCCAAGCATAAGGAAGGGTTTGTAGGCCAGTGGGACGGGCAGCCCAGCAGGTAAAGGTGCTGGCCACACTAACGCCAACGGCTTGAGTCGGATCCCCAGGAACCACACAGTGAAGAACAGAGTCAGCTCCTGCGAGTTGTTCTCTGATCTCTATACATGTACAGTGCATGCCTGCGCACACCTGCGCGCACACATCTGCGTGTGAGCACACACACACACACACACACACACACACACACACACACACACACTCACACACTAAATGTTTAAAAATACGAGCTAAGTTGCTTTTGAATGGAGGTAGGAAGAAGGACCCTTTCTCATCCCACCCTGCTGGCTCCTCACCCGCGTGTTGTCCTCATAGAGCATGATAACAATCTGGGTCATGTAGTTGAGCTCTGAGATGGCACTAAGATAAGCCAAAGCTCGCTGCCATTGTGCATCCTGGGTCTCCTACCAAACACAAACAAAGGTAAGCCAGTGCCCAGGGACAAGTAAGAGGAGTGGGCAGGGGCCCGGGGAGAAGGGCAAATGTTCACAGGAAAAACAGCCCAGGAAGGACAGCTGAAGACGGCTGGGGAAAAAGTGCTCACGGGTCCAAGGAAGAAGAAGGATGCTTACATCAAGAAGTCCCCCATAACGGAAGACACTGAGTAGGGAGTGAACGTGACTCTCACTGGTGAAATAGAGACGTGTCCGAACATGGCGGCCTGGAGAGAGCACCCCGCGGGAGTACCTGACATAAAAGTTAAATCAGACTCGCAGTCAGATAGTCCTCTTCCCAGCCTTCTGAAAATTCCTCCGACCACCCCAAGACCTCACTCTTCTCTATCCCAGATCCCTTCTCTTCCTGGCCCCCACCTGTCTCAGCCTTGATTCCCCCAGGGCTCCCAACATGCCCGCCCTCCCTCCGTCCAGCTCCCCTCCCAGCCCTCCCTCACAGGGGATGCAGCTTGTTGACAGACTCATCCTCGTGGGTTCTCTGCAGGTCAAGGAGGATTTTCCGCAGCAGTGGCAGACAGAAGCCTACAGCAATTTCCATTTTCTCCTCTCGACTGATCCCATACTCCTAAGGGTCACGGGCCAGGAGGACAAGCTCAATTAGTCTTGCCCCACATCTGTTTCCCTCAGGTCTGGGGTTTCTTTCCTGTCCATCACCTCCCCTCCCAAAGTCTCCTCAGTTAGTCTTGATGCCCAGACGAGGCCTGGGCACTGCAGAAACTCAATCCCTTCTCCAAGCATCCTTCCTAGCTTCCTTCCCTCCTTCCCTCTCATTAGTCCCTCCGTACTGGATCCGTTACATGAGACACACCTGCGGGATGACCACATCGGCCAGAGCTTTTGAAAGATGCAGCAACTCGGCTGTGCCTTGAAGTCCCAGACTTCCATTGTGTTGTACATCGTACTTGACACAGTCGTAGATATCAGGGATCTTGCTGATGTCATAGCGGCCGCTCTTCTGTCGAAAGTCGCGCTCTAGTTTGCTCCAACGCTGCAGCATTAGCTCTAGTGTCTCACTGTGGTAGAGTTGCAGGTCTGAGAAGAAGACAGTCCGTCAAAAGGGGCCAGATCTGACTTCCGACCAAAGACCCCAACAACTCTGGAGCCGAACCCGAGGGGTCAGGAGTTCCTGAGGAATGCAGCCATGCCTGAGACTCCAGAGGGCGACGGTAGTGCTCACACCCACCTACGGAGCTGGGGTCCTGCATCCGCTCCCGGATCTGGTGGGTAAGGTTTTCAATCAGGGCGAACACCTGATCACAGACCTTCACGGGATTCTGGATTTTAGACATGGAGTTGAGCAGAGACGCACTGCCAGTGGGGGCCAGCTGGGAGGAAGAGTTCAGAAAGAGAAGCAGGCTCAGGCCAGTTGCCCAGACTCCGGCTTGCTACAAAGAAACCGCTGCAATACAGATCTGCCTGCTGGCTCACTTCAGGAGGGTTCTTAGGGTCTGGGGTATCCTGGCAATTTTGGGTCTTCAGACTGCTCAACAATCAACCACGAGAGGCCCATCTTAAAAGTTTCAGAGTCCAGAGAAATTAAAGTGTCCGTACACTTTACTTGGGGACTGTAAAATACACTCGGAAAATGATGGAGAATAAAGAATAAATCCCTTACAGTCTCTGTGGAGTGTTCTGATAACAAATAGAGAGGACTGTCTCGCACTGACTTACAGTACCAATGTTACTTCTAACTTGGTTCCAGCTCAAGGTTTTGGGGTTTTTCATTTATTTGGTTTGTTTTTGAGATAAAGTCTTACTGTGTAGCCCTGGCTGGCCTGGAACTCACTCTGTAGACCAGGCTGGCCTCAAACTCAGAGATCCACCTTACCTCTGCTTCCTGAGTACTGGGATTAAAGGGGTGCGCCACCATGCCCAGCTTCTAAATCAAGCCTTTAAGACAGTCACCATCAATACAAAATGAGAAGGACTGGAGGATGGCTCAGTAGTTAAGAGCACTTACTGCTTAGGGCCAAGAGTCTGGTTCCCAGCACCCACGTTGGGTGGCTCACAGCTACTTAGAACTCCAGTTACAGGAGACCTAACACCCTCTTCTGGACTCCACAGGCACCTAGACTCAAGTGCACAAGCCCACATACAGATACACATGCACATATACACTTAAAAATAAAAATAAGGTGGGCGGTGGTAGCACACACTTTTAATCCCAGCACTTGGGGAGGCAGAGACAGGTGAATCTCTGTGAGTTTGAGGGCAGCTTGGTCTACAAAGCGAGTACCAGGACAGCCAGGGCTACACAGAGAAACCCTGTCTCAAAAAAACAAACAAACAAATAAATAATAAAAATATGAAAAAAAAAAGAAATGGGGAGGAATAAATGTAAGTAGAATAAAGAGTTCCAGCTAAGACCTCAGAAGTTTCATTCTTACTAGCAAAAGGAGGCATAAAGAAAGGGTGAGCCACCCTAGACTTTCTGTTTGACAGTGAACACCACTAGCTGGAAAAATAAGGGAACAAGTCTGCCCCTTAGCAAGTCACTCAAGAACCTATCAGAGGGACCAGGGAAATGGCTTTGCTTTTAAGAGTGAGACTGAGACAGGCAGTGGTGGTGCATGTCTTTAATCCCAGCACTCAGGAGGCTGAGCCAGGTGCATCTCTGTGAGTTCGAGGCCAGCCTGGGCTACAGAGTGAGTTCTAGGAAAGGCGCAAAGCTACACAGAGAAACCCTGTCTCAGAAAACCAAAAAAAAAAAAAAAAAAAAAAGAGTGAGCTTGCTCATGAAAGAGATATCTTGATAAAGGGAGCCATTATGAGGTTAAGGAGAAACCTAGTGCCACGGAAACTCCCAAGAATCCACAAGGATGACCCCAGCTAAGATTTCTAGCAATAGTGGAGAGGGCGCCTGAAATGGCCCTCTCCTGTAATCAGATTGGTGACTACCCTAATTGTCATCATAGAATCTACATTCAGTAACTGATGGAAGCAGATATAGAGATCCACAGCCAAGCACTAGGCTGAGCTCCAGGAGTCTAGATGAAGAGAGGGAAGAGGGATTATATAAGGGGGGGGGCGGGAATCAAGATCATGACGGGGAAACCCATAGAGACAGCTGACCAGAGCTCATGGGAGCTCACAGACTCTAGACCGACAGCTAGGGAGCCTGCATGGGACCGACCTAGG